ATTCTTGATCTGCTCTGGTTTATTCTCAGGCTTCCAACTAAAGAACCGGGCTAACAAGACGATGAAGTTAGCAAATCTTTTAGCACATATTATTCCGTGAGTTTTCCACCAGGACGTCTGCCTTTACAAATCCATCCAATAACCTCAATACCAGCAGTTGGGAACGGTTCGCTAATCAATATAAAGTACCTGGAGGAGTGCATTTTGTGGGTGTAACTGCTCTCGTAGGCGGCGGTGCAGTGGCCTCTACATCTTTTGGCTCGTCTGAGGCAGCTTCACACTCCAAAGGTTTGTCACGCTGCTCCTGGAAGATGTTGTTTGTCAAATTCCACTCATGCTTGCGAATTAACCAGAATAAGTTTAGACTCTGCTCATATGACTAACACCAGTCCCGCTATGTTTCAGACACACCTCATAGTTTACCAATACGATAACATTTTTCCCAATAATCAGCTTTCAGAAGTCTGTCATCCTGACAAGACCCGTTATTTTGCTTGGTCTTTTCATTTAAAAAAAACAGAGTACTGGTACAATCCTTACAACTCAAGTTTTGCATCTAGACTGAGTGCCAGAAAAAAAAGAAAAAGACTATATTTTGTGATCTGTGAATGACTCATTCGTGCTTTAGATGCTTAGTAGTCAACCTTGCTGTGTGTTTCTGTCTTGGTTCCAGCCCTTTCATCTTCATCTTTGTTTTTCCAGACGTTGTTTCCTTTCTGGAAGCGGTTGCGAATCTGAGCTAGCTCGGCTTCACGCTCCTGAAATGAAGAGGATAAGAGAGCTCGTTTTTTCGTAATGATTTTAATAAGAAATAGGGATGGGACGGTTTCTGAAAACCGTCCGAACCGTTCGGTTCTACTGTCTCGGGAAGCACATGTTGGAATTAGCACTGTTTCCTCTCTTGCAATGCCAGAATCTCACTTACTTTTACAATAAGACTGTCACAATGATGTATCAAATGTCAGACTGCTTTTTTCTTTCAGTTTTTTTCAACCTGACTATACAAGACATAATAGATTTTCCTAACAATCAACATATACCGAACCGAACCCAAAACCGTGACCACGAAACCGTGAATCGAACCGAACCGTGGATTTTGTGAACCGTCCCACCCCTAATAAGAAACTAAGAAAACAAAGGGGTCACAGAACATTATAGAGGAGACTGAACCCACCTGCTTCTGCCTCTGGGTGAGGTCAGCAGTGGCTGTGCTGGTGGCCTGGGCAGCCTGGAGCCTCTCCTGCACCAGTTTTGTGTTTGGTGTGACGGATACGTGGGGCTTGGGGGGAGTAGCGACTCTGGTTGGGGTTTTTTGGTTGTTGTACTGCTGGCATCTCTCCCCAAAACGCTCCAGGAAAGATTTGACGACTTTGGAAACAAGAAGAGTTGTGTGGCTATGTGTCCTTGATACATGTAAGGATGGTTTAATACATAATAATTTCACACTGGGGTGTTTATCTACAGTGGGAGAAATAAGTATTTGACCCTTTTGCTGATTTTGCAAGTTTGCCCACTTACAAAGAATGTAACGATCTATAACTTTAATCATATGTACATTCTAACAGTGAAAGACAGAATCCCAAAGAAAATTCCAGAAAATCACATCATATGAATTTATAAAAATTGATAACCATCTGATGAGGAAAAATAAGCATTCTTTGTAAGTGGGCAAACCTGCAAAATCAGCAAGGGGTCAAATACTTATTTCCCCCACTGTAAATACAGAACTCACCTGGAGGTCCCGCAGTAGACTTTTCCGAATGGGCAAATGATCCGGAGACAGCAGGCTTTTCGTGGAGAGCTGGTTTTTGGGGACTGGAGACTTGGCCGAGACCTCCGGAGGTAGTCGATTTCTTCAGAGGGCTGGACGTTACAGATGATGAGGAGGCCAAACCTGGCTTTTGTGGACTGGATTGGAAGGCCGCTCCCTGACTGGAGCTCTTCTGAGGACTGTGTACGGACTGAGGTGTGAGTTTACTTGCAGGGACGGAAGCCTTCGGAGGACACGCCGCTCCACTAGACTTTACTGGTGAGTGCACAGCTTCCTGAAACCACAAAGAAAAAAACAAAACAGGTATCTTAATGTCTTCAGTACACAAAAAGAAAAGGAGGTCGGTCAAATCTAAGTGCGTTTAAAAGTCACACACAAGTTGAAAAGCAAACACCACAAGCTAATGTCACCCTCTTTACAAACAGTTAGGATCAGATTATGTGCCCTAAAAAAGAAATATATGAAGGAAAAGGTCAGATCTCTGTTTCTCTGCTCAGCATTTCACTCAGTCACTATCCAGCTTCACCTAGATGTTGTATTAATGGTACATACAGTGGGGGAAATAAGTATTTGACCCCTTGCTGATTTTGCAGGTTTGCCCACTTACAAAGAATGCTTATTTTTCATCATCAGATGGTTACCAGTTTTTATAAATTCACATGATGTGATTTTCTGGAATTTTCTTTGGGATTTTGTCTTTCACTGTTAGAATGTACATATCATTAAAGTTATAGATCGTTGCATTCTTTGTAAGTGGGCAAACCTGCAAAATCACAAGGGGTCAAATACTTATTTCCTCCACTGTAAGTGGCAAAATATTTAAAATGGCTGCCTTCAAAAGGTTATAAGATTGGGAGAATTAAATCAAAGACTCTCGTTTCTTGTTCCCGGACATTAGAATACATATTTTTTTCTCCTTTTTCTTAACTTACACGTTTGTCCAAAGTGCTTTTCAAATCTCACTAAACCTACCTGGTCAAAGCGGGACTTGCTGTTTGTGGATGAGCCGAGCCCGGCTGGAGTTGGTTTGGTGCCGGCCGCCGACTGTTTGACAGCAAACTTGGGGGCGGGAGCAGCTCCGGGCTTCTCTCTGGGTACGTTAGCGTGGCTGAGGTCGTCCTCCCAGGAGCCGATGGTGGCAGCCAGGTTAGCAAGCCTGCCTTTCCGCCCAAGGGCAGTTTCTGAGGAGTTGGTGGGTTTGGGGGGGGGCTGGACCTCAGCTGGACCCCTCAGCGATGAGAGGGCGGAGCAATCAGAAACCGATTCAGAAGTACCTGAAACAGCAGAAAAATCTGTTATCTGGAGAAATCCACCAGTTTAAACACACTCACACATATATATTTATAGACTAGGGTTTTTCTGATCCGATATTTGGATTGGATCGGCTGCAGATATTTGCAAAAAAAAGGAGAAAATGCAGATCCAGACTCCCGATCCCTGTCCGATCCGTCTTTTCCAGCTCTCTGATTAAAATCCATTACTGATGCTGAGTTAATAGACTATTTTCTTTTCAGGTTGTTTCTGTGTTTTGCCTCTTTTAAACACAGTTTACAATATTATTTGCACTTTTTACTCTTCACTGATGCCATTTCCCTTTGTTATGTATAATCTTGTCTATTTTGTGTTTATCCCTGAATAAACAGGTCAGTGTCTCTTTACCAACCAGTGTGTTTTATTCAAACTCACCTAATTCAAATGGCTAGTTTTCATCAGAGTAAATCCCTTTTCAACACGAGTCTGACAACTAAGGAAGTAGATAAATAACTTTAAACTTGAATACATGCTCTGATAGGCCGGGATCGGTATCGGAAGAGAAAAAAGCTGGACCAGGACATCCCTAATATATACAGTGGGGGAAATAAGTATTTGACCCCTTGCTGATTTTACAGGTTTGCCCACTTACAAAGAATGCAACGATCTATAACATTAATCATATGTACATTCTAACAGTGAAAGACAGAATCCCAAAGAAAATTCCAGAAAATCACATCATATGAATTTATAAAAATTGATAACCATCTGATGAGGAAAAATAAGCATTCTTTGTAAGTGGGCAAACCTGCTAAATCAGCAAGGGGTCAAATACTTATTTCCCCCACTGTATATATATTTATATGTACCCAAACTCACCATCCCAGCACTTCCTCTGCTCTGCTAGTCTCTGTAGGCGTGATCTCATCCCAGCAGGAGCTGGACAGCTTTCCAGCTCCGCTTTGCTTCTCTGTGAATCAGAACCAATCGGCCCCTGCTGTGATTCCTGTCCGGGGGGCGGATTTACTACCGGGGTCACCGCCATTTTCTCCGGCTCTGCCCGAGCTGCTTTTGGCTGCTCGGGGTGAGGTGGGAGGGTGGGCTTCGCCGCGGTCTTCTCCAGGGAGGAGGAATGCCGGGCGGGGGTCGGGCCCACCGGGGGCTTCTTGTCCGTGGGGGGATCGGGGAGAACGGGGGCCCCGGCCTGGAGCACCATGGGCTCCTGGTTCTCCTCACCGGCGGCAGGACCAGTCTCCTCTGAGCACCTGCGCTTGGAGGGGGAAGGCTTGGAGGACACCTGTGGGACTAGAGGGAAGCAAGGAAGGTACAAGTCAAGTATGCTTTATTGTCAATTTCTTTACATGCGCTGGTCATACAAAGAATTTAAATTGAGTTTCATCCTTTCCCATTCAGACATAACAGACAGTTAGACAAAGACATTACACTTACATTACACCTAGAGTACCTAATTCAATTCAATTTTATTTATATAGCGCCATATCACATCAACATTTGTCTCACAGCGCTTTCCAAACAGAGCAGGTCAGACCCTACTCTGAAGATAATTACAGAAACCCAACAATTCCCACCATGAGCAAGCACTAGGCGACACAGGCAAGGAAAAACTTCCTTTACAATACCATACAGACATATAAAGAGCCAGACTGGGCAACAGCAGACATACATTAAACATAAGAAAGAGGTATTGTTGTGCATTTCCAGTTATGTCCTATTTTGACGATTCTAACAGTGATAGTAGCATTGGGTAATATAATTAATATAAAGTGATCAATTGTAATGTGCAATATTTGCAACTAGTTGGTACCTAGTTTTCCAATACAGTAATTCAAGTAACAGGCATGAAGTAGCAGCAGCGTGTGTGTATGTGTGTTTTTTAGTTAGTTCAGTGTGTGTGTGTATATATGTGTGTGCTTTTGAGTCAAGTGAGTGTGTATGTGTTTGTGCTTTTGAGTCAGTCCAGTGTGTGTGGTGTGTGTGTGGTGTGTGTGTGTGTGTGTGTGTGTGTGTGTGTGTGTGTGTGTGTGTTTGAGTTAGAGCAAGTAGAATGTGCAATTCCAGTGTTGAGGGGGGGTATTTGATGATGGGCGGGTTAAGTGTACCCAGAACAAGAAGGTATAAGGAAACGGTTAAGAGGCAACAGACCCCCAGACACTGTGTGTGTGTGTGTGTGTGGGGGGGGGGGGGGGGGTGGTCATACTTTTATGAGGAAGAGATTCGGTGATCCCGTGGGTGGTGTCGGTCAGCGGCTCCCGGGGCCGTTTGGCCATCGGTCTGTTGGCTGCGTTTGGCCTTTCCGCCATTTTCTTCTGGAGGTTTTCTCTGCGAGCTCGAGTTCGCTCCAATAGTTTCTGTCAGCCAAAACAGAGACAAAGGAATCATTACTGTAACAGCCGGATTATATTTACAGGGCATGAACCAAAGAAAAATACACTGAGACGTGTAAATGTCTCTTCATGCAATTACAAGCTAAAAGTCTCATCATGGTCACTTATTATGGAAATGTTTCTGTAGCATAATTGAAATTAAAATATGGTACGGTGTGGGGGAAATCTATATATTTCTTCACTTCACTCTGGTAACTTTCCACTAGTGAATATTTTAGAGGTTCCTTTTCTTTCTCATGGGGCTTTTTCATCTTTCAAGGCCTAGGAGAAAGTCTCCTTATACTTTATCTCTTAATGTTTTATCTTTGTTTGGTACAGGTTCCTCTGTGATGAGAGGCAGACTTTCCTCCTCATCCCAGATTCAGAGAGGGGTATATATTTATGATTTGTTTTACTTCAGAGCAGCTTGTGCCTCACATAAACCACCTGTATGATGGTGCTGGCTGCTTTCCTTTCATGACGTTTTCCCTTTTAATACATTTATATTTCTTACTTCCTCAGGTGGACACAGACTTTTGATTTAGAACAGAACTTCCACAACATACAGAAACACTTCCTTACATGAGGACCAGTGGCTGTAACTGTAATGAGAACATAGCCCACACTCAAAAAACGGGCAAAATAGTTGGACTCTTATGTGTGTTAAGGATTCTACATGTTGGTTGTTTGGTTAGATTATAACCAATTAATCTCCGTATCCCTTGCGAGTGTGGTTCTTTTGAGCAGGTCACCTGTTTGAATACTTCAAGATCCTCCATTCTACCTTAATTGTACCAGGAGATCACATATGATAACCGATTCACACTGAATGCTGATGCCTACTCATTTTAGCTTCTAGCTTGACCAAACCTTGAGGATTTGAATAGCTGCATCTTTGCTGCACAGAAAACTACCTAATTAAAGCAAATTAAATAGACGTTTCAAAAACATCACCCTGATATTCTGACATGATGGATGAATGGATGAATTTTCCATTTTCTACCATTAACAAGTACAATAAATTCAAAGTAAACACAATAATCTCGTGCTACAAAAAGATGGACTAGACTTTCTGTTAACACCTTGAATTCAACAAACACAGAAACTCTGATACTGTCTCAGTTCCTAATAAAGAACCTGCTGGGGTCATCAGGTGGGAACCTCCCATTATCAGCGTTTTATCTAGTTGGACCGTGACGCCTTCAGGAGGCTAGGCCGTGATCACCAGCATCCCAGAGTCACTCCCCTAATACCAGCCATCATCACCATCTCTTCTTCCTCACACTATACCAACCATCTCCTCTACTGCAAACAGTTACGGTACTCCAGCTTCTCGCCAACTTGATCAGTAAAAGCAGGGGTGGGATTCAAACTGTGTTCTGGGCAGGGGGTAGAAATAGAGGTAAATACAAGTAGGAATGGGATACAGACCCTTGTTTGGTTAGAAGTTATGGGAAAGGTGGAAAGTAAACCGTTATTTGTGTTCTGAAAGTGATCACCACTGGGACAAAAAATAATTTCTTACAGCTAAACTTCCCTTTTTGATGAAGTAATTAAAAGAGGAAGAAAGAATTTGAACTGAAGTCTGAATAAATAACAGTTTGCCCCCAAAAAACTGATCTTATAATTAGAATATTTTCTACAATTACAGAAAAGGTGAGTTTTGAATACTTTGCCAATTCTGGCTATTATTAGGCAGAAAAGTCAACCAAACATACCCCTTAGTTTCTGTAAATCTCAAAAAGTAACCAGACAAACTGTCTGACCTCTTTCCCCTATTACCAAAAAAGCCTCCATTTGCCTGCTCTCCCTTTTTCCTCAAGCTTTCTTCCCCTCCCCGAGTCCCTCTGACAAACTATGTGAGCAAGCCCTGACACATTCCTGCTTCTGTACCACAAGCCTCCAGCTTTTCAGCAGCCTGGAAACTCTGACATGCTTCAGGAATGAGCCACGCCTGCTGGCATTTTCTGCAGTTTACGTGTAAAAAAAACTCCTTTGGCCCACCACTGGAGGGAAGAAGAATCCAAAGATGGGCATTCCTGATTTATCTGACCGCATCCAACACATTAGGGGAAAAGGTTATAGCAAAATAAACCAGTACAAACACAAAGCTTTGCCTTAAATGGAGGCTGAGCTCTCCTGTTTGGTTGACGTAACGCTTCGTGACCTGAAATGTATTTTTAACTGTTTTAAAATGAGAAGCTGACCATCTGATCAAATGTCAGACAGATTGCATCCCCTTAAACGGTTCATACTTGTCAGATCTTACGTTTACTCGTCATTTGACGACTGACAGAAACTCAACACGTCACGTTTTCACCACTGTATTTTAGCAATAACGTCACATGAATACAAAAATGGGTTAGGGTTAAGTTATAATCTTGTCACAAAAATGACAAGACTACTACAGCAGTAAAGTAGCATAATCTTGTCATTTTTGTGACAAGATTATGCTACCTTACTGCTGTATTTTAATGGCATTATAGAAAAAGAGACAACAATGTTCTTAGCATTAGCAACTAAGTTAGCGTTAACGTTTTTGCAAAAAAAAAAATCCTTACGTTAGCTAGGTAACTCACCTCGGTAAACGGATCCATTTTGTTGAATTAACACTCACTCGAGGGGTGTTTCAGAAATAAACTACCTCAGGAATTTTTTCGACGTTTAAAAAACAGACTGAGCAGAGGTAACGCAGAGTCTCTCGGCTTGTCTCTTCTCGACTCGCCTTCTCTTCACAAAACAACGTCGGTTCGAATTTGAATTTCAGCGCTGCGCGCACTGCGCATGCGCAGCAACGGCTGCGGGAGCGCTCAGCAACCAATCAGAATCAAACAGCCCTGGAGGGCTGAGACCGACAACTAGACGCGAAATATATGAGTAAATAAACAAATACGCCCCAAATGTCTCATTTGTTTAAAAAAAATAACAAGACACAATTTTATATTCAACTTTAACCTCTACATACAAATCATATCTCCCCATTTAAAATATCACTTTAATTTGCTTTACTACATGTTCTATAATTTGATTGACTGATCATTTTCTTAAATTGATTTTATTTTAATTTGACTGTTCAATAACTGTTTGTGTCTTTCTTTTATTTATAGATGGATTCATATCCTTTATTTCCTCTTCAAATTTTTCTTTTTTTTGCCTACAAGCCTTTTTATTTCCCTGTTTCCTTTTTACATTTCTCCATCTCTTCTTTTTTACATTTCCCTCTGCTTTTCTGCCGCATTTTGCAAATAGTTTGGGCTTCCCGTCCATCGCCTCTGGTCATCTTTTAGCTTTTTTCCAATCAAAATAAAGTTGCAGGGTCCGTTATAAGTTGCAAGCTGTTGTATCCTTGTAATGTGCCTCTACTTGTGCACCTTTCAGTGCCTCTAAAAGTAAGACACACCACATCACAACTCTTGAAAGTTGTGGTGCTAATTCTGATTTGTTGGACCTTATTTTGTGTAATGAGTATAAAGGGAAGAACTGCATGTGATTCTGCTCTTTGCTCAAACTGGCTAGTGACGGGCATGAATGATCAGAATTTGAAATAAAGTTTTTCTTTCTTAGATTTTCTTTTTTTTGCTGGCTAATATTCATGACATATTGTTTAGATTTTAATCATTTCTTTCTCTTTCTAATCCTAGACCACAAGACACTATCCGGCCTTAGACCTTTAGAAGCTATTTCCTGTGAGACGACAAGCTTTCCTCCTAAATCTACCTGCATCTCCCAATTACAGGCATCCTTTTCTAAGCTGTCTTTCCTCCTTACTGCCTTTTTAACTTTCTCTCCTTCTTGGACGGACTCAATTGCCACACTTTTTATCTTAGAACCTCCTAAATGAACCTATTCAGCTTCTCAATACTTGGTTATGTCTGCACAAATACCTGCCTTGTGCAGACTAACCTTACAGCCTGACAAAATATACCTCAGAGTTGCCCTACCTGTTTTCTTTGGCAATACGTCACATGTTGCCCTGATCAAAAATCTAATCTTACTCTCTTCCACAAGGGACAATCCTTTCCAACTAAGCTTTTTCTTATCAACACTTTCTTCCTTAAACCAGTAAAATTGGACTCTGGGGTCATTCAGAACAAATCTGATGCTTTGTCTAAAATACCTTCTGATGCAGTAAATGTGGGGAACGCAAATGTTATAAGGAGCTTAATTTGAAAGGCTAGAACAATAATAATACAATTATATAGATATAACTCATCAAAATGTTGCTGCTTTCAACATTTGAAGACATGAATTTAGTGGGTGAGTCACACTTACTCTGTAAACATCAAATTCAAGTTCAAATGTGTAAATAAAATCACTAAAAAACAAATCTATAATATAAGAATTGAATTTGAAAGCGGCAAAAGACATTAATAGCTAGAGATACTAAAAAAAAACAACAAATAATATATGCTGAATATATGAATATATATATATATAATATATTCAGTTAAAAGCTTCACTAATAAAATCAGGTCTAAATTAATTAAAATCCAGCAGGTGATGCAATTTGAGTCCCAGTTGCAGACAGTCTGGGGACGGACCCATTTCCGGAAACCAGGCGGAGCCAGTGGACGCCCCTTCAAAATAAAAGCTGGCACTACGGTTTAAAGCGTGTCTTAGTAAAAAAAATAAAAGTAATGAAAGAGGCAAAAGCTGGAGTCATTGTAAAACCCATAAATGGTGCTTTAATAAGTCGCCTGCTCGTGTCAATTCCCGTGGACGTGTCTGCTTACGGCTGTCCGCGCGCTCTTATTTTTCAGCCTCAGCGCGCACTTCCGGTCGCCTCCCTCGTGGCGGTGTTACATCAGACGTCGTCTATAAACCGGGAGTCCCCCTCAGGTTAGCTGTTATCTGTCTACTGACCACAGGAACCGGTGAGTACCGTGACCCAAACCCCCCCTCTAGGCCCCGGACAGAGCCCGGGTTTGGGGCTCCATCTTCCGGGGAGGAGGGGGGGGGGGGTTAGAAAAGTTTGCTAATTGGAAACTGTACGGAGGCTCGTTTAGGTCTTAAATGTGGGGCAGCAGCATCTTCTGCCGCAGGAGGAGGAAGGAAGAGACGAATAAGAGGCTGACACTTTGGTTCAAGGCAGATTTGGGCTTTAAACATCTCAAGTGGATCCATATTTTCTATTTTTTGTGACAGGAAGTAGGGTTTTTTGGCTTTCCTTCTCTTGATGAATCCTAACAGCTGGTCCATGATGGGGTGCACGAGCCAAGGGACAAGTTTCCATTAACTAAAGGAAAAAAAATATCTGATTTAATTATTTAATTTAAAGAGAAAGCTCGTTTTTTTTAGGACTTCCTATCAAAAGGGAGACAGACTGCTTGAATCAGGCTCGTGCCCGCTGTCACGCGCACTTAATTGGGGAGCACATGGTTGGCATCAGATCAGAAAAGTTTCTTCCTTGTACAGCCAAAAGGAAGGGCATTACCTGAAATGAAAAAAAGGAGGAGTAACTATCAGTTGGAGATCATTAATATCTGATGGCAATAAAAAATAAAATAAAAAAAAAGACTAATTATCCACACAGACTGCATCCAGAAACTAATCACCACCACAGTCAGATGCCACCAGGGAAAAATGCAATGAAACTATAATTTTGATGTGATTTAGTCTTTTATTTGAGGTTATCTTAAATATGTTTTTCAGGCTGACAGCAGTGGGATCAGCCAGTGACTTTTCTCTGGGAAAAAGTTTCACTTTATTCACTTAACTTCATTATTTTTTTTAGCTTTTTCTGTGAAAAAGTTTCACTTAACCTCTTTTTTTGTGGTACGATCGCAATTTTTCTGCTTATTCAGTGAAAAAAGATTCACTTTGCCTCTTTTTCTCGTGGTATTATCACCATTTTTCTGTGGAAAAAGTTTAACTTTGCCCCTCTTTTGTGGTACTATCATCATTTTTCAGCTTTGTCTGCGAAAAGTTTCACTTTGGCTCTTTTTTTGTGGTACTATCATAATTCTTCTGCTTTTTCAGTGAAAAAAGTTTCACTCTGTCTCTTTTCTGTGATGTATATTAGCATTTTTCTGCTTTTTCTGTGAAAAAAAGTTTCACTTTGCCCCTTTTTTGTGGTAATATCATCATTTTTCAGCCTTTTCTTTGTAAAAAGTTTGACTCTGCCTCTTTTCTGTGATGTGTATTATTTTTCTGTGAAAAAACGTTTCACTTTGCCTAATTTTCTGTGGTATTATCATCATTTTTCAGCTTTTTCTTTGTAAAAAGTTTCACTCTGCCTCTTTTCTGTGATATATATATATATATATTAGCATTTTTATGCTTTTTTTGTGAAAAAAAATTTCACTTTGCCTCTTTTTTGTGGTATTGTCGTCATTTTTCCATGAAAAAAAAGTTTTACTTTGCCTCTTTTTGTGGTATTATCATAATTTTCTGTGAAAGAAGTTTCACCCTGCATCTTTTCTGTGAAGTGTATCATCATTTTTCTGCTTTTTCTGTGAAAAAACGGTTCACATTGCCCCTTTTTTTGTGGTACTGTCATCAGTTTTCTGCTTTTTCTGTGAAAAAAGTTTTTTGTGGTACTATCCTAATTTTTCCACGAAAAAAGGTTCACTCTGCCTCTTTTTTGTGATGTGTATTATTTTTCTTTTAAAAAACGTTTCA